ATATATATATATATATATATATATATATATATATATATATATATATATTATATCATATTATATTATATTATAAATATTATAAGATATTCTTTAATAAAGAATTCCTGCAAATCCGCGCCATTCTTTAGAAGTATACACGTCTGTGAGCTGCGCGCTTAGTAGTGTGCGTGAATGTAGCGGCAGAACATTCATGCACACTACCAGGCATGCGGCTCATAGACGTGTATATTTTTAAAGAACGACGCGAATTTGCTGGAATTTATTAAAGAATATCTGCTTCATTAAGCATCATAGACAAAAATGGTTCAGGACTTTTCGATTTAATTTTTCATAAAGAATAACGTTAAATACTTCGTGGGCGAAAGTTAATAAACACCTTGTATATATATATATATATGTAATAATATTAAATATTAAATTTTATTGAGTAAGAAATTATAATATTGATGTTATTTAGTATTTATTAAATATATTTATTCGTTAATATCAACCATAATACTAATTTAATTTTTATAAATAAAAATATAACAATATGAAAAATTAACTAATAATTTTTTCATTGATAAGTAAATTATAAAAATAATAAATTATTAAAATAATAAATTTCTTTCATTTAATTAAAAACGTATACGTTGACAATAAATTTAAATTCAGTTCTTTAAATATCCGGCGTGCTTAGCATGTCGGCGTGTCTGATCCAACCCGCTAATTAGATTGTGAAGCTATCTACAACATTTTAGCAAAATAAATAAGCAAATAGCAATAGTTAGCAAATAAATAAGCAAAAGCTGAGGTCAGAAAGGACTAGTATATTCTTTGGCCTGGGACCAAACTATTATAAGATAAACACAGTTGTAAAATAAAAAAGTAAAAATACCGAATAGGGGACCCAACTCCTATAATCTTGACTTTGACATATATTATCATGGATATGTTTCTGAGTAACATTCGAAAGCTTTTAGTTGTTTATTGTTTGTTAATAAATTAAAAAAATTTGTTTATAAATGAAATAATTTTTGCACACAGTGTACATTAAAATATGGTAAATAGTACACATATGTGCGTATAAAAGAGGCTCCGCCCTCCCCTTGCAACCTCTCCTAAAAACTAACCTAACTTAACCCATTTTTTATATTTTTGTATTTTTTTCTTTATCTTTTGTATTTTTGTATTATTTCTCATTGAGAAATTATGTACAAAAATGTAAACGATAAATTAGGTTAGTTTTTTTGGGGAAGAGGTTTATATATATATACTATTTACTATATTTCAGTGTACACTGTGTGCAAAAATTACGTTCAACTGATAAACTTTCTTTGTTAATAACTTTTTAACAAACAACGAACAACGTCTAAAATGTATTGAACAGTATTTAGAAAAGTGGTCTTCATAATATATGTAAAGGCTATGGAAGCTAGGTTCCCTATTTGGTATTTTTTTATCGAATCTACTCTTCCTCTTATCTTTTTCTCTTTTTTCTCTCTTACTTTTTACTTCTATTTTCTTCACTCTCGCTCTTTTTCTTTCGCTTACAAAGTTCTCTCTAGCACTCGTCATGTGCCATATCTTTCTGGTAAGAAATATCAAGCTCGTAAAAAAAGAAAATCAACATATTGATACTTATTCGTCCCCGAATCCTCCCGCTATTTGCAGTATCACGCGGTTCAACGGATTTGTCAAAGTAATCTCACAATTTTCGCCTTCGCTTCGACGTGTTCGCTTTACCTCTTTTCCTTCATCTCGTCTTTCGTTCCTCTCACCCCCTAACCTAACCAACTATTTGTCCGCGTCTCTCTCCTACTCTTGACGATCACCCTTTCTCCATAGCGAACCGGCTTCGTTTCCCTCTTTTTCTTTTATCGCTCGCGCACGCGTACGTATATGTGCGCGCGCCCGCGCACACAGTGCATGTGTATGTGGGTGGGTGCGTGGATCGGCGGTGAATTGGTGAATGTATGAACTCGTAGTCCGCGCGTCGGCGCTCGTTCCTTCTCAGTGCGTGCCTTACGCGGGCACCGTCGACTACCGAGGCTTCGTTATAGAACGGTTACGTGGCATACTCTCAGTGCAACGCGACGATCGGAAAGAGGAAATAATTGACGAACTAGAAAAGGACGGAAAGAAAGGGAATGAACGGGCGGTGAATCATAACGAGGGAGACAAAGAAAAAGAAAGAAGGACGTGTAAAGAAAACTTAGGACGGACAAAGGGAGAGGAAGAGAACGAGAGAATAAGTTACTGAAGAAGGAGAAAGATAAACGAAACGTGAGTGGGAAGAACAGAACAAGAGCGAGAGACAAAGGTGTGTGGAAGTAAAGAAAGACAGACGAGCGTGCGCGTCGTCTTCTCCAAACGGAATCGTCGAAGAAGAAAGCGTGTACCTCTCGCGAGTTCGTTGCACGAATATATCGAGTTTGTAGCTCCACGCTTTGTACATAGGTACATTTTGATTATTGACGAGAAGGAAAGTACTGTGTTAGGTGGTTCCTCTTTAAGAAACCTTTCACAAATCGCGAAATTATTCCGAAGTTCGTTGCGTAGTTTAGTGTTGTGTGAATCTTATCGCCTTTATTAATTCAATCCACATTTTAATTCTCGTTTCGCATCGAAGCAACTCGAAGAAATTTCATCATGTCTACAAACAATTGACGCTTTGTCACGACCCAAACTAAGCCGTGCCATCGATGAGTCACACCACCTGACCCGATTGCGTTATCCAGGTAATCGCGACAACATGAAGTAAACGCCGATAAATGAGCGGAAGGAGTCATATCAAGTTGCCGTTGTAAGATCAATGAGCGTATGCGCGTATATACATGCGGTGATCGTGGTATTTGCGAGTGTCGCCGTTGACATCGTATTCGTACTCGTACATCTGGCGACAGGATGCCATTGGTGACGAGGGATTTAAGTAGCTAGCGCAACGCGCGAGCATCGAAACGTTGAGTCCAGCGACTACGACGACGTTGAATCCGCCGCTTTGAGTCGTCGATCGACGAGTAACGAGCGCGCGATGCGAACTAAAAGCCGAGCGAGAGAAGCAGCAGGTAGAGCGCGTCGTTGCGCTCAGTGATCCGGGTTGCTATATTTTTAGGCGGTCGTCGAACGGTAAGCGTGGTCGTACCGGCCGGCGTGGATACTTTGAGAGCGAATGAGAGAAGAATATTCCAAGAGGAATTTTTGTCCTACAAAAAAGTTAGAGAGCGACAAAGAGAAAATTAGAGGAACAGAAAAGGGTCACGTCGACCAACAGGACTTGCAAGCGGTTTCAAGACACAAAGGTATGATAGAAGATACAAATCAAAGGAAAAAAGGAAACGACAGGGCAGAGGAGTAGGTAAGGAAGCATAAAATGCTTTGAATGTAGCCAAAGTGAGAACAGTACACACGTTGCGTCGTGGCTTTTTATATAGTGAGAACAGTACACACGTTGCGTCGTGCCTTTTTATATTTATATTATGGCGTGCGACTTTTTATATAGTGTTCGAAGAAGGTTGTATGCGAGTGGAATGACCGTGATTTAAACAAATTGTGCATCGATACGGGCGCGTATATACGCTCGCACATACGTTCGTTGTTCATTCGTAACGCGGTTCAACGAGGTGAACGAACAATCGTGGAGTTGTGCGATGTTGTCTTGTTCTCGAATGTTGGATACGCGTACGCCTGCCCGCTTCTCCAGCGTTGCTACACGGATTTCCTGCACTCCGGAGCGAGATACCTTTAGCGTTCCAGAGTGACACGAAGGTATGCACGTGTATAAATAGCATGCGTGTACACGACAGACAGTGAGAGTAACACTTATGATTACAATTGATTAAAGAATAGATGCATGTTAGCATTTGGGCGTCTTATTCGCGTTCCTTTTAGCAGCTCGCGAAAATTAAAATTGTGTAAATCACAATGATAAATTATACCAACTTTATATGATATTTTAGAATATTTGGCATTCGTTTGCACTTCGAATATATCATGATATCTATATTTTATTCATATTAAAGATTTAAATTTGTTGCGCTAATTTGTAGAATCTCCCAGATAGACAGGTGTACGTAAATTCGGGAGTAACTTTATTAGTCGTGATTTTCAAAGGCTGCGTCTAAGCGGCTTATATGACACTCGCATTTATCCTATAGAATTAGAAATACAAAAGAAATATGAACAAAAATTATCCGAATGGGCTTAAAACAATGTGTTCTGTAAAATATAATATAAAAATATGAGTATAATTTTTAGCAAATTTGCTACATCAATGTAACAAAGAATTTACATTATTGTATGATATAAATATAATGGTTAATTCAATACACACATACACATTGAGGAAAAAAAATGATTGAATTCAATAAATTATTATTTTTAGTGCCAATTATGTCTTCTTATTGTTCTAGCAAAAAAATATTCAGACAGCACAAGATTTCCTGAGGACGTCCTGGAAACGTTCTTAGGACGTAGAAACATTCTCAGAACGTCTTTGGAATGTCCTGTAGAGATCTGTGTTGTTTGATAGTAATATACACATATAAGATTATTATTACTAACACTATATTTACATTTATTAGAAAAATAGTCCTGATTATAACTCTTTTACTATGTGATTATAGTAACAAATAATAAATATATTTTTTCTCAGTGCAGTATATTTGCCTTGTAAATGTAATTAGAAAAATATAAATATTTCATCGACTGTAATAATAATTATGAAAGTCTATCTTGTATATCTAAGATAAATATACATTGTGCGCGTATAGATACGTGCGTGTATGTATATGTATATAGTGTGTATTAGTCTGTGTGTGTATGTATATATGCTAAATTATACGTTTGAAACTTTGCTGGCAAATATAATGCAATATATATATATATATATATATATATATATATATATATATATATA